ATTACTATTAGTAGTATTAGTAGTAGTATTACTATTTGTAGTATTATGGCTTCGCACAGTCGGCACACTCAACGCCCTGTATAAATCAATATTATTTATATATAAAATTGGAAAATGTGTAAAAAATAAGCTTGCACACACACGGTGGGTGTGTGTGGTCCTGGCTCTTGCCAGTGGCGTCACTGGATCTTTAACGTCCTCTTGAGTCAAAGCGGATTGTGCGTGGTATATTTATTGTTGTTGATGTTGTTGTTGTTGATATTAACCAGGGCGGCCGCTCGCCCGCCCGCGTCGAAAACCGTCAACATCTTGGAAGGCGCCGCTGGGGCGCGCCACCACCATTGTTGTGCCACGCGTCGCTCCACTGCTGGATGAGTGACACCAGCGGGCCAAGTGTACTGCGGCGTAGTATCACCCCCACCCCCTCCACCCCGTCACGTTGACTCCACGCGCCCTCCTCTCGGCCCCGTCCCGGAACGACGTCAAAGACTCCGTGACGGCCTTCCCAAGAGCCGAGGCCGTCGCGTGCCCGTCTAAGGGGCTTGCCGGTTTCCTCAATTAGACAACAAAAAATCATCATTTACACCGCAGATGTTGAGTGAATGTTCGTGTGGCACCAATCATCGCCCCCCCCCCACGACCGCGAAGCACTTGGCAGGACCCTCACAAAGAGGGTCACGAGACTCTCACCGATGCTCTCATGGGTAAAGAAGCGGAATAAAAATCACGATAATGATGGTACCAACACGTTTCCATCTGCCACAAAGGCAGTTTTACGATGAATGTCGCCACGAATGGGTTTAATGAACGTTGACCCTTCTGAACGTGGCCACGTGGCTACGTTTAATCGCAGCTGCCCGCAGGCCAGAGCCGAACCAAGTTTACTGACAGTGGAAGTGCTGCAGTTACATACTCTTAGGTTTTTTCGGTAAAGTCACGTAGGTAAAAAAAATAATATAATAATAAAATAATAGAAATTATATAAATAAAATAATAACTCACTACGTTTCGGAGGCAACACAAGTCTCCGTCATCAGGTGGGACCGTCACAGCTAAAATGTATCACTTGATACAGTAAATGTAGCTGTGACGGTCCCACCTGATGACGGAGACTTGTGTTGCCTCCGAAACGTTGTGATTTATTATTTATTTCTATTATTATTTCTATTATTTATTACCTACGTGACTTTACCGAAAAAACCTAAGAGTATGAATCCTTGCAGTCACGAAAGCTTCAAATCTAGAATTACTGCAGTTACAGCTTACAGACCCTTGTCCACTGCTGGATGAGGTCCTCCCTGTCGGCGGCTTTCGGCAATAGGGGTTTTGTTTTTTTGCGGGACCATACTTCACCACGCGGGTCAGTCGCTTCATCAGTAGGGTGGCCCGTTTTGACTTCGTGTCACGCGCCTAGTCCAAAGCCACTTGGTGGCAGTGCCTTTCGTGAAGTTTCTAAACAGTTTGAGAGGCATCATTATTTTTACGATGAGCGGTATAATTGCCATGGGCGTGTTCAACGAGATTCCCCCATGACCCGTGCCACCCTCTCAAAAATAAACCCTCGACTAAAAGCCATGGTCGAAGTCGTTAATTCATTCCGCGAGATGGGAGTGGCTTTTTTCTGGGGGGGTGGAATTCAGTGCCCGGAGCTGTGTGGGCAAACCACATTTCCAGCTCGCTCTGTCTCTGTTCTCTGCCAGGGAATCCTCCCCCCACCCCCGATTATCCACCACCGCCTTCTCAGGGAGCTAGCAAGCAGTCCAGTGTGTTGTGACCAGGGTCCGTATTGACCCATAGAATAATAAGGCCCTCATATGTTAACTACCTCGCCTGGAATACAGGAGGTCGTGGGTTCGATCCCGACCCTGACGCCTGCTGCTGTATATTTGGAGTTTGAGTCTCTCTCTCTCTCTCATCAATCATCACGGTGGCCAGGATATGTTAACTACCTCGCCTGGTATACAGGAGGTCGTGGGTTCGATCCCGACCCTGATGCCTGCTGCTGTATATTTGAAGTTTGAGTCTCTCTCTCTCTCATCAATCATCACGGTGGCCAGGATATGTTAACTACCTCGCCTGGTATACAGGAGGTCGTGGGCTCGATCCCGACCCTGACGTCTGCTGCTGTATATTTGGAGTTTGCATGCCTCTCTCTCCCTCTCCCCGTGGTCACGTGGATTTTTTTCCGGGGTCCTCCCGTTCCCCCCCCTCCACATTTAGAATTAACATCACGTGTTCAGAGTGTTTGGCCGATGTACATGTCCACGCGATGATGACGACAAGCCACTTCGATTAGCTATTATTCATGATAGCCAGGTCGCTACTGAAAACAAGGCCTATTATACAGCTCAGTGGGGCATTACCTGGTAAAATAACAAAAACGTCCTTTAGTTTTCATAATACAGGTTGCTTTTGGCTTAGATCGCGTAAATATTTAAATGTGTGGTTCAACCGCCAAGACCCGACAAAGCCAATTAGTGAGGTTTGTCACGCAAACAGAACGTGCCAATTCTCTCACGAGCACAAACACACCGGTGTGTTGGAGAGCCACAACATTGACGATCTCCTTCAGGTCCTCAGCTTCACCTTGAAGTGAAGAGCCGAGTGACAGCAGCCTGGCCATCACGGAACACAGTTTTTTAATTACGATGGCGTCGTCACCGTCATCACCATTCGTGACTTTGCCACAGCTAAGGCGAGGAGGAACCATCCTGCTTGGATGAAGAAATGAGCGCAGCGAGTGATTTGCGTTCGATGAAGATACTCTTGAGTCGAACAAACGTGTTAATGTTACATTGCTAAATGAATACATGTTTGACGATTTCAGGATAGTGTTTGTAAGATTGTGTTTGTAATACTGTGGAAACGAAGTCCCTTTCCCTCCTATGATAGCCTCTGCGCCCATCATCGCCTGAATTTGGCCCTGGCTGCGAACCGGGGCTATGCCTGACCCTGCTGGTGAGACACCGTGTGTCGAAACCGCTCCGGAAGTTTGTGCTCATCTCGAAGCAGCGCTGCTGAACTTCTTCTTCTTCTTGTTCGTCCATCAAAGTTGATGATGACCATGGCACGTTTGTCATTATGTTGGGTTTTGATGAGTGCGCAGATGGCTGAAGAGGCCAATCCGAGCCCGGAATTCCCTGTGGCACACTGGACAGGTCAGGGACGATGTAGAGCTCTGAGGTGCAGCCACACGTCCTTCCTTGGTAGATTTGCGCTGCTGCCTCTTCAAGATAGCACAGGAGCGTCTCCTACTCTCACAGAGGACTGCACCGTCCTGTACTGTTCTTCTCCAGGCAGGTCGGTCCTGTGCTAGGGATTCCCAGCTTTTAAGGTCGAATCCAAAGCTCTTCAAGGAAGCTTTCAGGGTGTCCTTGTAGCGCTTTTTGGGGCTACCTTGTGCTCGCTTGCCATTCCTCAGCTCGCCAAAGAAGACTTGTTTTGGAAGTCTCGCGTAGGGCATTCTGGTCACGTGGCCAGTCCATCTAAGCTGTTCCTTCGCAAGCAAGCTGAAATTACATCGCAGCTGTCAACCCCTTGTCAGTGCCCTACCTTGTTACAGACCAACTCAGACCTTGTTGGTCACCCCGTGCCATTGTAAATCTCAACGTTCACCCTACGAAGTCCCATCACAAGGGAGGAACACGAACAAATAGACACAACATGTGTCGTAACTCTCCACCACCCGACACAGCCAGCAAGGGTTGTCACGTGAACAACGAGCAACTTAGTTACGACTTCAGCCCACCGGTCTGTGTCGGGTGGTGGAGGGTTACAACACATTTCTACTTACGCGATCTAACCCAAAAACCTTTATTATGAATAATATTGGTCACAGAAAGCCTGCCACGTGCTTAACAGACGACACATTAAATTTCGATTTAAAGCTTTCGTGACTGCAGGGATTCATCTTCTTGGTTCTTTCGGTAAAGTCACGTAGAAGGGAAATAATAAAATAATACAAATAAAACAATAAAATAATTCTCACGACGTTTCGGCCACAACGCAAGCAGCCGTCCTCAGGTGAAGACCAGGTCTGTCGGGGAGACGCTGTCGTGAGAATAATTTTATTATGTTTTATTTTCATTATTTTATGATTTCCCTTCTACGTGACTTTACCGAACGAACCAAGAAGAAGAGAGCACATTTTTGCCCGTTTTGAAACGGCTGTGCGCCGTGTGGACCTGCAAACTCCATGGCCCTGCAGAGGAACACGGCGAGAGACACGTGTGGGTTGACGGCTACGCGAAATTGCTCGGGGCGCAGTTGGAGTACGATGACTAACAACACTATGGGACTTATGTGCAGAGACAGACATACAAGTGCACGTGCAGTATGTGTACACTGTTGATGACGGAGGCGTTTGTCTTGTGGGCTATTCGGCAAGGTTCCAAAGGCCACAGAAGCCAGACGCGCCGGGTCACGCGGTGGCCACGGCCTTAGCCTGCTGCGATGTTGGAGGCGTCCAATACGAGGTGACCGCACATCCCAGTGTGGCAGGATCCTCCTTAAAGCGGCCTTGAGACTCTTAAGATATCCCCGGTGAGGGGCTTCTTAGGGTCAAATTTGAATGTGCTTTTTATATTTTATTTTTATGATATTATTATTTCCCTTCTACGTGACTTTACCAAAAGATCCAAGAATATGAATCCCTGCAGTCACGAAAGCTTTAAATCGAAATTTAAAACTGAATGTGCTCTGAAGAAGGGGCATTGCCCGAAACGTCACGGCGTTGTCTTAACTTGCGTCATAAAACCACGCAGCAGCGTTGCTAATGAACGTGTTGAGTATTTATACATGTGTAGTGGCATCGGTCTCCCTCGTGTGAACCACCACCACCACACATCTTACATAAGAAGTGTTGATTTCGTCAGCCACAAACCGGAGCCTCGCATTTCACAACGAGGCCCGCAGGGTGCGTGCTGAGAGTGGATCACACACGACGAGGTTTCACAATGGAGCCACCAGATTCAAACTGAGCCGCGCAGTTGAGCCACCCGTGTCACAGTAGAGCCCCAAGGTGGACCCACGCGTTTCACAGTGGAGCCACCAGCTTCAGAGTGAGCCACAGTGGAGCCACCATCTTCAAAGTGAGCCACAGTGGAGCCACCAGCTTCAGAGTGAGCGACAGTGGAGCCACCAACTTCAGAGTGAGCCACAGTGGAGCCACCATCTTCAAAGTGAGCCACAGTGGAGCCACCAGCTTCAGAGTGAGCCACAGTGGAGCCACCAGCTTCAGAGTGAGCCAGAGTGGAGCCACCAGCTTCAGAGTGAGCCACAGTGGAGCCACCAACTTCAGAGTGAGCCACAGTGGAGCCACCAGCTTCAGTGAGCCAGAGTGGAGCCACCAGATTCAAACTGAGCCAGAGTAGAGCCACCAACTTCAGAGTGAGCCAGAGTGGAGCCACCAACTTCAGAGTGAGCCAGAGTGTAACCACGTGGAGCCACGGTGTAACAACGTGGAGCCGAGTGGAGTCGCTCCGCGCATGCCTCGCGGCTTACGGTGGTGGCTCGTCTCCAACATTTCACGACCCCGCCCCTGCAGCAGCGACTCGCCCGCCCGAGACGCGAGAGACGACACGAGCAGAGCGAGGAGGCGGACGAGGAGAGCGAGAGAGAAAGAGGGCGAGAGAGACAAAGGCGGTCCAGGGGAGAGGCGAGCGAAGGGAGCGAGAGCGTCGCGGGAAATCGCGGACAACAGGATTCGCGGCCATCGAGAATAAACAATGCAGGTGAGGAGGAGAGTGGAGTGGCGGGGCAGACAAAGGGGGGAGACACGTGGCGTCTGGGATGAGGGAGTGTGTGTGTGTATGATGTGTGTGTGTATGATGTGTGTGTGTGTGATGTGTGTGTGTATGATGTGTGTATGATGTGTGTGTATGATGTGTGTGTGTATGATGTGTGTATGATGTGTGTGTGTATGATGTGTGTGTGTGTATGATGTGTGTGTATGATGTATGTGTGGGTGTATGTGTGTGTGTGGTTGACTGAGTGTGTGTGTGGTTGACTGTGTGTGTGGTTGAGTATGTGTGTGTGGTTGAGTATGTGTGTGTGGTTGACTGAGTGTGTGTGGTTGACTGTGTGTGTGTGGTTGACTGAGTGTGTGTGGTTGACTGTGTGTGTGTGGTTGACTGAGTGTGTGGTTGAGTGAGTGCGTGTGGTTGAGTATGTGTGTGTGGTTGACTGAGTGTGTGTGGTTGACTGAGTGTGTGTGGTTGACTGTGTGTGTGTGGTTGACTGAGTGTGTGGTTGACTGTGTGTGTGTGGTTGAGTGAGTGTGTGGTTGAGTGAGTGTGTGGTTGAGTGAGTGTGTGTGTGGTTGACTGAGTGTTTGTGGTAGAGTGTGTGTGTGTGGTTGAGTATGTGTGTGTGGTTGACTGTGTGTGTGTGGTTGAGTGAGTGTGTGGTTGAGTGTGTGGTTGACTGAGTGTGTGTGTGTGATTGACTGAGTGTGTGTGGTTGACAGATTGTGTGTGTGTGGTTGACTGTGTGTGTGTGGTTGAGTGTGTGGTTGAGTGAGTGTGTGTGGTTGACTGTGTGTGTGTGGTTGAGTGAGTGTGTGGTTGAGTGTGTGGTTGACTGAGTGTGTGTGTGTGATTGACTGAGTGTGTGTGGTTGACAGATTGTGTGTGTGTGGTTGACTGTGTGTGTGTGGTTGAGTGTGTGGTTGAGTGAGTGTGTGTGGTTGACTGTGTGTGGTTGACTGTGTGTGTGTGTGTGGTTGACTGAGTGTGTGTGTGGGGTTGAGTGTGTGTGTGTGGTTGACTGAGTTCTTGTGAAGCGCTATGAACCCGGCGACCCGAGTTCAATTCGCGCTCACGGCCATCAACATTGACGATTATATAAACCGGTCCTGGGCCACCCCTAGGTAGACTCGGCCTCAAATTAGTACCCGATGCGGTGTGTAAACATCGCCACTGGGGAGACAAAGGCGGCCGGGCGCGGTGTTGGCCAACCCACCCCTCACATAACAGACGCCACTCGCTAACGGCACTTGCCCCGGCAGCGCGCCAAGGCTACACGGGGCCTCTTTGTCCTTGGCGGCTCGTGGGCAGCGTGGGGGGGTCCACGATGCCACGTGGAATGGCGGCGTCTTGACGGGTGTGAGGCCTTCAGCCAGCAGTGGAGAGATCGTGGCTGACGATGTAGACGATCACAACGAATAGCGTGAAATGAAACCCTGCGGAGAGCAAATGTTGTCGTTGGCTCTCGCACTCCGCTGAGCGTGAGCCACACGCGACTTCTACTTTAAGATGCACTGAGTGATATATATAATCTCACAATGTCCCACTATACATCTCACGATGTTCATTCATTTCTTAGGCGGCATTCGGGAATGAATGGATGAATGCCGGCAACGTTTCATGGGCGCAGTCGCCAGTCACGTGACCTTCGCGCGTGGATGTTCCAAGAAATGCCGCCCACACAGCAATGAGTCTGTGGGTTTCTGTGTGAGTGTGGGTCTCTGTGTGAGTCTGTGTGGGTCTCTGTGTGAGTCTGTGGGTCTCTGTGTGCGTCTGTGTGAGTCTGTGGGTCTCTGTGTGAGTCTGTGGGGTTTTGTGTTAGTCTATGGGTCTCTGTGTGAGTCTGGGGGTCTCTGAGTCTGTGGGTCTCTGTGTGAGTCTGTGGGTCTCCGTGTGAGGCTGTGGGTCTCTGTGAGTCTGTGGGTCTCTGTGTGCGTCTGTGTGAGTCTGTGGGTCTCTGTGTGAGTCTGTGGGTCTCTGTGAGTCTGTGGGTCTCTGTGTGCGTCTGTGGGACTCTGTCTGCGTCTGTGGGTCTCTGTGTGAGTCTGTGGGTCTCTGTGTGAGTCTGGAGATCTCTGTGTGAGTCTGGGGGTCTCTGTGTGAGTCTGGGGGTCTCTGTGTAAGTCTGGGGGTCTCTGTGAGTCTCTGGGTCTCTATGTTAGTCTGTGGGTCTCTGTGTGAGTCTGGGGGTGTCTGTGAGTCTGTGGGTCTCTGTGTGAGGCTGTGGGTCTCTGTGAGTCTGTGGGTCTCTGTGTGAGTCTGTGGGTCTCTGTGTGAGTCTATGGGTCTCTGTGTGAGTCTGTGGGTCTCTGTGTGAGTCTGTGGGTCTCTGTGTGAGGCTGTGGGTCTCTGTGAGGCTGTGGGTTTCTGTGAGTCTGTGGGTCTCTGTGTGCGTCTGTGGGTCTCTTGTGTGAGTTTGTGGGTCTCTGTGAGTCTGTGGGTCTCTGTGTGAGCCTGTGGGTCTCTATGTGAGTCTATGGGTCTCTGTGTGAGTCTATGGGTCTCTGTGTGAGTCTGGGGTCTCTGTGCGAGTCTGCGGGTCGCTGTGCGGCTCTATGAGTCCCACAGGCGTCTTCCCCGCACCTTCTCTCCGCAGAGCTCCCAGCAGTTTGTGCGCCAGGCGCTGGCGTCGCGATGGCGATTCCGACCCCTGCCACTCAAGCCTCTGACTCCGGTGCCCAGGTACGGCGCCCCCCCCCCCCCGCTGCCCTCGGCTCTCCCGGAGAGCCAGGGGTGGCTCGGAGCCGTGGGGCCGGCGAGATTCACGATGAATGAGCACGAGCGGTGATGCGGGACAAGGGCCGCCGCTGGGACGCCGTGGTGGCTAGGAGATGTTAACTCCCTCGCCTTGTATGCAGGAAGTCGGGGGTTCGATCCCGACCCTGAAGATGTCTGTTGTATATCTGGAGTTTGCGTGTCTCTCTCCCCCCGTGGCCGTGTGGATTTTTCTCCGGGTCCCTCCGGTTTCTTTCTCCACGTTTAGAATCGACACCACCACGCGTTCAGAGTATGTGGCTACTGCTAGAAATGCCCACGTGATGATGATGATGCTAAGCCACTTCGTTCAGCTATCATTTGTGATAGCCAGGTCACTTGTGAAAAATCTCAGTGGGCTTCACCTGGGTAACATAAAAACAAATAGTGGAGTTTATAGTTTTATGGTAATGATGGTGTCAAGTCGTAACGCTTCTGCCGGCGCCGCGACCACCGCACGGTACCCGCTCATCGGTCTCGTAGAGAGAGAACGACTCGGAGAGAGGGTGACTCGTACAGAGAGAGAGGATGACTCAGAGAGAGGGTGACTCGTACAGAGAGAGAGAACGACTCGGAGAGAGGGTGACTCGTAGAGAGAGAGGACGACTCAGAGAGAGGGTGACTCGTACAGAGAGAGAGGACGACTCGGAGAGAGGGTGACTCATAGAGAGAGAGAGGACGACTCGGAGAGAGGGTGACTCGTAGAGAGAGAGGACAACTCGGAGAGAGGGTGACTCGTAGAGAGAGAGGACGACTCGGAGGCACCAGGAGGTGGAACCACAGACGCGGAGTGGGAAGGCAGCAGCAGCCACGCAGTGAGGAGCTGGCACTGCCAACAGTTCCCCACCAAGCTCTGCGGTCCTCTATGTATAAAGGTGTTATCAGCCAATTACATGTGTATGTATGTATGGATGTTGAACGTCTTTCGCACTGTACGTAGCCAACCGTGGCTAATCGGAGGTGCAGGGGAAGGACAACAAACTAAACACAACAAGCAGTTCGAGAGAAACTAGTATTGTCCATCTAGAATCTAGATGATGATGATTTAAAAGTGCATAGCTCCCAGTGATTTCCTTATATCAGAAGGAAGAGCGTTCCAGACGGCCGCAGAAGCGCATCTGAAGGCACGCGATGCGGTGACCGCCGTCCTGGGAGTGGTGCGGAGGGTGGTGTGGGTGGTGGTTTGGGTGGAGACTGCGTCCCACGTCGCTGTTGTCATTGTTGTTGTTGTTGTCCTCCCTTGCGTACGGCCTGTCCCTGCTCCAGCGACATTGAGGTCTCCCGTGCCCAGACGCCGAAGGCGGCGGACCTCCTGGCGCAGGAGGTGGGGCTGCTGCCGGGCGAGGTGGAGGCCTACGGACGCTGCAAGGCCAAGGTGTCTCTGTCCACTCTGCACCGGCTGCGGCACCAGCCCGACGGCAAATACGTGGTGGTCACCAGGTAGGGAGGGCCGTCGGTGGCCAGGAGATGTTAACTACCTCGCCTGGTATGCAGGAGGTCGTGGGTTCGCTCCCGACCCTGATGCCTACTGCTGTGTATTTGGAAGTTTGGTCTCTCTCTCTCTCATCATCATCACGGTGGCTAGGAGATGTTAACTACCTAGCCTGGTATGCAAGAGGTCGTGGGTTCACTCCCAGCCTTGACGCCGACTGCTGTATATGTGGAATTTGCGTGTCTCTCTCTCTCTCGCTCCCCGTGGTCGCGTCGATTTTTCTGTGGGTCCTCCGGTTTTTCCCTCCACATTTAGAATCAACGACGTGCGTTTAGATTATTTGGCTGCTGTATAGTTCCACATGAGCTGTCGTTGTTGATAGCCAGGCCGCTTCTAAAAAGAGCGGACATATGGCTCAGTGGGCCTCGCCTGGTCAACAAAAGAAAACTGTTTAGTTTTGGGTGAGCCGCTTGCCGGGCCGGCTGGCCACGCCGGTTTGGCGGCGGGAATCTCCACGGCGTCGTCGTCGTCGTCACGGCGACGCGAGCGTCGTTGTCGCCCGCAGCATCACCCCGACGCCGCTGGGCGAGGGCAAGAGCACAAGCGCGGTGGGGCTGGCGCAGGCGCTCTCCTCGCAGCTGCACCTCAACACCTTCGCCTGCGTGCGACAGCCCTCGCAGGGACCCACGTTCGGCATCAAAGGTGGCGCGCGGGCGAACGTCTCGGAGGGCGTGGGGGGGGGGGCGTGGTGGGGGGGGGCGTGGTGGGGGGGGGGCGTGATTGGCATAGGGCCTGGCAAAGCCACACTTTGGAAGTTATCGTCACGGTGTTGCTCTGACGCTTCGCTGGGAGTCTCGTCAATCGGCCCGGAGGGCGCCGAGTCTTCAGAATCGGGGGAGCGACGATTGCCGCTGCCGCTGCGCCCGATCCCGGCGGGTTGTCCAGCGGCTACACCTTTTCCAAACATTCAACGAATCTGCAGCGTGACGCCGGCGCGGGATCTTCAACGTCCGCCGCGAAGCGGACGGTGCTTGGCATTCTTACAGTCGGCACGCAGCGCAGCATTAACCAGGGCGGCCCACTGGCTTCAACGGTCGGTGGTTGTTGCGCTGTTAGTACCGTCCGCCTTCCTCCAGCCGCGGCAGTGGGCACGGCTACGCGGGGCACCGTCGCCTCTTGTGCGGTGTGCTGGGTGGTCACGTGATCGCGGCGTCTCGCTCTGTCCCCATGCCAGGGGGCGCGGCCGGAGGAGGCTACTCCCAGGTCATCCCCATGGAGGAGGTGAGCTCACGCACCGCGTCGTCGGCACCATCCTCGTCGTCGTCGTCGTCGTCGCACGATAGCGTGCGTGACGCGGGCCCCGGTGTGTGAGGGATTAAATGGGAGGGATGAGCTGCCCCCCAATTTCCCCCCCGCAAACCTCTTCATTGCCCAGTGCCTGTGGGCCCCGGTGCAGTTGCACCGCCTGCACACTGCTCGATAGCCGCCACGCCGCCGCCGGGACGAGACGCGAGGCCGCGGGAGAGAGAGATTATTCATCGTCCAATTCGCGCGCAACAGCCGACAGATGAGAACGATGCATTCATGAGAGGTGGGTAGAAGGGCGACAGGGAAACGGCTACGTGCAGACGAGACTCTCTGGGCAGGAGAGGGCGGTGATGTCGCCCCATGGGGTGGGCGGAACGTGGCAGGAGAGAGCGGTGATGTCGCCCCATGGGGTGGGCGGAACGTGGCAGGAGAGGGCGGTGATGTCGCCCTATGGGGTGGGTGGAACGTGGCAGGAGAGCGACAGGGTGCATCGCTCTCCTGCCACAGCGATGTCTCAGTGATGTCGCAGCAATGTTTCATTCCCTGGCATTTTACAATAAATCACAAATGGCTCTCGTCTCAGGCAGCGTGCTCAGTGAAGCGTCGTGAATAATAAAAAATCTATCAATATTTAAAGTGGGATCGGGGAGAGGGCTCTCTGCAGGCCTCGCGAGTGGAAGGCTCGCGGTCGCCCCCTCCTGCTCCGGGAAGGGGGGGGGTGGAGGAGGTCGACGCAGATTCACGCGGACGCAGCGGCACGTCGATTCACGTCGCCCGCCCGCCATGTCCCGTCCGCAGTTCAACCTGCACTTGACGGGCGACATCCACGCCATCACGGCAGCCAACAACCTGCTGGCCGCCGCCATCGACGCGCGCATCTTCCATGAGAACACGCAGACGGACAAGGTGAGCACACGCGCCGGGGCGGCTGCACCAGTCCCGTCGCGACACGGGACAAAGGTAGAGGCAAAGATTTTCCCCCCCACCTCCGCCGTACATCTCCCAATAACAGAATAGGAGATGTTTATGGTTTTGGTTTTGTTGCGGGAAGAGCTGCGTTTCTCCCGTGGACGCTGCGGCGTGTGGAAGATCGATCCGACGCGCCGCTACCAACGTACCGCTACCGACGTGCCGCTACCGACGTGCACCGTCAGAACCGAGGCGGAGTCGTACTCCTCCGGTTGGTTCGCGCGCCACTTTGCCCGGCGTAGATCCCACCGGCGGCGTGTCCCTCCCGTGCGTCTCCTGTCAGTGGAAAATTCCACATTCCCACGATGAGGGATCCCCCCTCTCTCCGACCGGGAGCGGCGAGATTGCGAGTGGCGCCCGTGCCGGCCGGCGTTGGCTGTCGCTGCGACGACGGCCCCGGTGACCACCCTCCCCGCTGCCCCCCCCCCTCCTCCCCAGGCTCTCTACAACCGCCTCGTTCCGCTGCTCAACGGGGTTCGTCGTTTCGCGCCGATCCAAATCCAGCGTCTCAAGGTACGCTCCCGGCGGAGGCGGTGATGGGGTCGAGGATGGGGGCGGCGCGTCTCTGTTGCCCATGAAGCAGCAACTGTTACTCTTCACCCGTGCGCGTTGCCGTCCGTTGCCATCAGTTGACGTCTGAGCTGCAATTCGAGTTGCCGCGTTAGTTGACCTGTGTGTTGTCGTGTTAGTTGACCTGTGGGTTGTCGTGTGAGTTGATGTGTGATTTGCCGAGTGAGTTGAAACGTGAGTTGCCACGTGAGTTGATGCGTGAGTTGATGCGTGATTTGCCGAGTGAATTGCCCAGTGAGTTGCCGCGTGAATTGCCGCGTGAGTTGACGCGTGAGTCGACGTTTGACAGAAACTGGGCATCTGCAAAACAGAGGCCGACTCTCTGACGAGCGAGGAGGTGACCCGGTTCGCTCGCCTGGACATTGACCCCGACACGGTGACCTGGAATAGAGGTCAGAGGTCACACTCCTTCAGTGCCGCTGCACACACGCGCGTGTCCGTGTGCGTGCGCGAGGAGCGGTGGTGCAGCGGTTAGCGCGCTGCACTACGAACCCGGCGACCCGAGTTCGATTCCCGCTCACGCCCAACGCCGGTGACAATTATCAGATCCGGTCCTAAGCCTTCCCTAGGTCGACTCAGCCTCAAATGAACACCTGATGCGGTGTGTGAACATCACCACCGGGGAGACAAAGGTGGCCGGGCGTGGTGCTGGCCACATCCGTACCTCCTCGTGTACCAGAGTGCCGGTGGCCTTCATAGGTGCTGCTCGCTAACAGCACTTGCCCCAACAGCCCCTGAACACTATGCGGGGGGTCTTTGTGTGCACGAGCCATGCACCAACTCACTCATCTCCTACCCGACCAAGCGAAGACTTGGCAGGGTTCTTAGCCACGGTTCAGTTCCTGCGGTGTAGTCCGTGCACCTGCTTGCTTAGTTGCTTATGACGTGTGTGTGTGTGTTGTTGTTGTGTGTGCGTGTGTGCGTGTGTGTGTGCGTGTGTGTGTTGTTGTTGTGTGCGTGTGTGTGTGTACGTATGTATGTGCGTGTATGCGTGTTGTTGTTGTTGTTGTGTGTCCGTGTTGTTGTGTTTGTGTGCGTACGTGTGTGTGTGCATGTGTGTGTGCGTGTTGTTGTTGTTGTGTGTGCGTGTTGTTGTTGTTGTGTGTGCGTGTGTGCGTGTGTATGCGTGTGTATGTGCGTGTGTGCGTGTTGTTGTGTGTGTGTGTGCGTGCGTGCGTGTGTGTGTGTGCATGTGTGTGTGCGTGTGTGTGCGTGTTGTTGTTGTTGTGTGTGCGTGTGTTTGCATTCAGTCCTGGACACAAACGACCGGTACCTGCGCAAAGTGACCGTCGGGCAGTCTCCTACCGAGAAAGGGCACTCAAGAGAGGTGCGTGTGTTAAGGCTATATGGGGGATCTTTGTCTTTGTGTTGCGTGTGCAGCAACTGATGGGGAGTGGTGGTGCAGTGGTTAGCACTACCAACCCGCTCAAACCCGAGTTTGATTCTCACTTACGGCCAACACCGGTGACGATTATCTGAACCGGTTCTCTGGGCCTCCGCTAGGTCTACTTAGCCTGAAATTAATATCTCGCGGAGACAAAGTGTGTGGTGGTAGTGGTGTATGTGGTGGTAGTGATGGGTGGTGGTAGTGGTGTGTGGTGGTAGTGATGTATGTGGTGGTAGTGGTGTGTGCGGAGTGCCGGGCGGCTAGAACACAGCAAGTTGGCACAGTAGGGGGCACAGGTTGTACATCGGCTACTCATCTCAGTGAACCCATGGCAGCTGCTGGGTCTGTCCCATGACCTCCTGCCATCGGGCATTCGACACTTCACGTGGCCTCAAAGTGAATTTATCCTGGCACAAGCACCGTGGTGTAGTCACCGCCACTTAGCGGTGAACGACGGTTGTTGTTGTTCTTGCTGTGTGTGGGAGTACCGGTCTTTGTGGCGGTGTACGTGTTGATTGCAGCGCGAGCGGTAGTGTAGCGGTCAGCGCAACTTGCTATCGAACCCGGCGACCCGAGTTCGATTCCCGCTCGCGGCCAACACCGGTGACGTTATTTGAACCGGTCAGCCCATGGCACCTGCTGACCTCCTGCCAGCGGCGAGAGCCTCCGACACGTCGCGTGGCTCTCGGCCGCTCGTCGTAACTCGGAGCGGAACGCGACGACCCCTTGACCCCCCCCCCCCAACCCCGCGTGCCGCGCCGCAGACCCAGTTCGACATTGCGGTGGCGAGCGAGATCATGGCGATCCTGGCCCTCGCCGGCAGCCTGGGCGACATGCGCGAGCGCCTGGCGCGCATGGTGGTGGCGACGAGCCGCAGCGGGGAGCCCGTCACCGCGGAGGACCTGGTGCGACGACGCAATCGCGGCGACCCTGCGCGGTGACTAACACGGCAACTAACACGGCGACTAACGCGGCGACTAACGCGGCGACTAACGCGGCAACTAACGTGGCAACTCACACGGTAACTAACACGGTAACTAACACGGCAACTCACACGGCAACTCACACGGCAACTAACACGGCAACTAACATGGCAACTCACACGGCAACTAACACGGCGACTAACGCGGTGACTAACACGGCAACTAACATGGAGACTAACACGGCAACTAACACGGCAACTAACACGGCAACTAACGCGGCAACTCGTACAGGGACTCACGCTGCAACTAACAACAGTTGCTGCTGCTGCTGCTTCACCGGCAATGGAGGCACGACACCCGGCAGAGCCACAGACGGCGCCGCCTTCCCGCTCGTCATGGCAATGTGGAATTCTCACTTGGGGGATGGGAAGGGGGGTGGGGTCAGGGGGAGCACACGAGCCAATCAAACATGAGCAGTCCCCTGAACCCCAAATAGCCAACGATTCAATCATTCGCGAGTACTCGCCCTGACCAACTAGCCAATCGGATGCAAGTACTCGCCCTTTCTCGAGCCCTGACCAACTAGCCAATCAGACGCGAGTACTCGCCCTATCTCTAGCCCTGACCAACTAGCCAATCAGATGCAAGTACTCGCCCTATCTCTAGCCCTGACCAACTAGCCAATCGGATGCAAGTACTCGCCCTATCTCTAGCCCTGACCAACTAGCCAATCGGATGCAAGTACTCGCCCTATCTCTAGCCCTGACCAACTAGCCAATCGGATGCAAGTACTCGCCCTATCTCTAGCCCTGATCAATTAACCAATCAGGCACGTCCTATCCCCTCGGCTGCAGCTCCTCCGCACGGAAATCGCCGCTTCGTTTTCACTTTACATCCGCGGCGTTGCCTCGCCCCCCACGCCCCCCGCGCCCCCCGCCCTCTTACAGAGTCCCGATAGCCCCCCCCCACACTCGTAGAACGGTTGCGTCGCCTTGACCCTCGCGCTCCGCTTACTGGACACAATCCGTGAAGTAGAGCTTCACAGCTCGTCGGATTCCACCCGTCCGCCTGTGTCACCGCCGCCGCCGCCGCCGTTGTTATTGTTGTTGTTGCAGGGGGTGAGCGGGGCCCTGGCGGTGCTCATGAAGGAGGCCATCAAACCCAACCTCATGCAGACGCTGGAGGTGAGGCCCGCAGAGAAAGGCTCGCCGGGTCCCAGGACAAACGCCGCCTCGTTGGAGACGCAAACAAACACCGCCCCTCCTCATCCTCCTCCTGCCTTTGACATTCCTCCTCGAAGACACTTACAGAACAATCAGGACATCAGCGGGCCGATATGCTACCCACACTACGGACCGCACAGTGAACCCATGGGGGGACATGGAGATATACATAGAGACCCATAGAGATACATAGAGATGGTTAAAGACACAGGCCAGAGCAGTGAGACTGTGGCCATACAACCCACACTACGGACCCCACAGTGAACCCATAGAGACACATGGAGATACACAGACACACGTAGAGATACATAGAGATGATTAAAGACACAGGCACAGTGAACCCATAGAGACACATGGAGATACACAGACACACGTAGAGATACATAGAGATGATTAAAGACACAGGCACAGTGAACCCATAGAGACACATGGAGATACACAGACACACATAGAGATACATAGAGATGATTAAAGACACAGGCACAGTGAACCCATAGAGACACATGGAGATACACAGACACACGTAGAGATACATAGAGATGATTAAAGACACAGGCACAGTGAACCCACTGGGGTCTGTGCTCCTTCAGCAGTGGAGGAGGTGGAGGAAGAGCGACACCAACTCTCTCCTCTGAGAAAACTCGACGAGTTACGTTTGATTAAAAACGTCGCGATGTAGTCTCTGCCGTGCCGGATGTGCGTACAAGGCAAGAGCCTGCTGCTACTGCTGCTGTCTTTGTTGTTGTTCGTTGGGGGGAGTTTTGCTTCTCTTGTCCGACGACGCGCGTCTGCGGCCTCCGCAGGGAAGCCCGGTGTTCGTCCACGCGGGCCCCTTCGCCAACATCGCCCACGGCAACTCCTCGGTGCTGGCCGACAAGATCGCCCTCAAGCTGGTGGGAGAGCAGGGCTTTGTGGGTACGCTCACAACCCTCCTGTAGCCTATAACACCTGCTGACGCACAGTGGTGACCCATCCACGTGCTATCCGGTCTCAACCCCACCTTGGCGTCTGAGATGCGATGGGACCGGGCAGTGCATCCCGAGCGGTTCGGTCTTAGGCCTACAAGCACTAGCCAGGGTCAAAACCTAAACTAAAAATAGATGTTTTTATTTTACCGGTTATGACCAACTGAGCTACATAGCTTTTGCCTATCATCAATTATAGCTCAACGAAGCAGCTCATCATGGTGTGGACATTTCTAGCAGCCAAATACTCTAAACGCCTTGTGATGTTGAGTCTAAATGTGGAAGGAAAAACCGGAGGGCCCGGAGAAAAAAACCACGCGACCACGGGGAGAGACACGCAAACTCCAAACACGCAGCAGTCGTCAGGGTCGGGATCGAACCCACGAGGTAGTTAACATCTCCCAGCCACCGTGGCGCCCGTTCCCGTCCGCACCTCGCCGGGCGCTCACGTGCCGGGCGATCGCTCGAGCCGGGGCAGGGGCAGGCGCCGCTCAAACGGGCGACACAAAAAACGCCGATTCGTCGGCCGACACTTGCGTCCGCCACCCTCCTCGTGCCCAGACTCGGTCGGCTCGGTCGGCTCGGCCGGCGGTGTGTGAGGGGCGCGGGGGCCGGGGATGGGGTGTGGGCGTGCGAATGAGTTCACCCCGGTAATTCCTTCCCATTGCCGGCCCCGGCGACGGTCGACCTCGCTTATAGGATCGTGGCTTCCCGTCACTCTTTTTTTTTTTTTCCACGGCAGTGACGGAGGCCGGCTTCGGAGCCGACATCGGGCTCGAGAAATTCTTCAACATCAAGTGCCGCCTGTCGGGCCTCTGCCCCGACGCCGTGGTGCTGGTGGTCACCGTGCGGGCCCTCAAGATGCACGGCGGAGGCCCCAAGGTACCCAGCACGGGGTCGCCGCGGTGACCGGCGGAAGAGTTTCATTTTACTGAACGCGTCGATTGGTTAATTCGGTTATTTATTGATCGTGTGCCTAGTTGCCATGGTAACGGTCGCCACTTAACTTTCCTCAGGTGACTGTTGGTGCCCCGCTGCCTAAGGAGTACACGGAGGAGGTACGGTGACAACGAAAAATCCACGGCTCCTCCACACAGAGTCCCGGCGTGTCCCAGACTGCCTGTTTGTCTGACTGTCTGTGTGTGTCAGACTGTTTGGCTGTCTGTGTGTGTCTGTCCGACTGTCTGGCTGTCTGTGAATCTGAATGTTTGTCGAGCTGTCTGTCTGCATGTCTGACTGTCTGTGTCTCTGTCTGGCTGTCTGTGCTTGTCAGACTGTCTGTGTGTGTCTGACTGTCTGTCTGTCTGCATGTCTGACTGACCGTCTGTGTGTCTGTCTGGCTGGCTGTCCGTCTATGTGCCTATCCGTTTGTCCGCCTGCTGTATTTTCGGAGCGACGTTGCTATGAGCATAGTCCAAATTGAGTTCATATTTTCGGTGTTAATCAAAAACAAAAACCTTTAACGCCACGCGATCTTTAACGTCCGCGTTGGCATTTCGACGGCGAGTACACACCGCCACGGTATTAACCGGGGCCGCCCGCGCCGGGGTCCGAACCACGAACGCTCGCGACGAGCGGCGTCACCCCTCCCCGCCCCCCCCGCCCCCCACCCTCACCCCCCACCCCCCCCCCGCCCCCCACCCTCACCCCCGCCGCCCCCACCGCGATGCGCTGGCTCTGTCCGCAGGGCCTGGATCTGCTCGAGCGTGGATGCGCCAACCTCGTCAAGCACCTGCAGATCGCTCAGCTGTTCGGAGTGCCAGTGGTCGTCGCCATCAACGAGTTCACGTGAGCGCACAGGCGGCATGGCGTGTGGGTGTCTACGTGTGTGGGTGTGCGTGTCTACGCGTGTGGGTGTCTGTGTGGGTGTCTACGTGTGTGTGGGTGTCTACGCGTGTGCGCATGTGTGGCCACCCACCCCCTCATGTGCCACAGTGCCGGCCTTCCCAGGTGCCGCTACTCGCTACTAACGCTACTAACGCTACTAACGCGTGCGACCTCCGCCTGTGCGCGAGCGTGTGCAGCACGGACACGCCGCGCGAGACCGCCCTGCTCGTGTCCGCGGCCCTGCGCGCCGGCGCCGCGGCCGCGCTGCGCTGTGCCGCGTGGCGCGCCGGCGGGGAGGGCGCGGCGGCCCTGGCCCAGGCCGTGGTGGAGGCGGCGCAGCGGCCGCGGGGCCGCCCCCGCCTGCTCTACGACCTGCAGGTGACGCGAAGGCAAAGGTCGCCCCCCCCCGTGCGTAGCCTCTAGCGGAGCGTCGGGGCAAGTGCCGTTCGTGGCGAGTAGCGGTGCACGCGATGGGGTTGGTGGACCGCCTTTGTCTCCCCGGCGCCGATGTTTAACCCACCGCGCCAAGTACTCGCGCGCACACGTGTGTATACGCACACCTAAACGCACGTACACGTACTAAGACAGAGCTACCCCGTGTAGCCTCAGCCGACTGTTGGGGAAAGTGCTCTTAGCGATCAGTTATGGAGGCCGGCATGGCACACGAGGGGGTGAGGGTGGCCAGCACCACCCACGGCCGCCTTTGTCTTTCTCGTGACGATGTTTACACACCGCACATATGCACACTTGCGCCATCGCACGCTACGTAGCACGGTTGGCTACGTAGGGTAAGAAAGAAGTTCAACATGCATACATAATCGTCTGTGGCTGAGTCGACAGGCACACACATCGTGACGTTCCGTCTGGCCTGGCGCAGCTGCCCGTGGAGGAGAAGATCCGCGTCATCGCACAGAAGGTGTACGGCGCAGACGACATCTGCCTCTCGGAGGAGGCTCGCAGGAAGATCGACCTCTACACCAAGCAGGTAGGGCATGGCTGGCGTGCGTGTTCACTGTGTGTACAGCTGGTGGGCTAGCGTGTTCACTGTGTGCACAGCTGGTGTGCTAGCGTGTGCACCGTGTGTACAGCTGGTGGGCTAGCATGTTCACTGTGTGTACAGCTGGTGGGCTAGCATGTGCACCGTGTGTACAGCTGGTGGGCTAGCGTGTGCACTGTGTGTACAGCTGGTGTGCTAGCGTGTGCACTGTGTGTACAGCTGGTGGGCTAGTGTGTGCACCGTGTGTACAGCTGGTGTGCTAGCGTGTTCACTGTGTGTACAGCTGGTGGGCTAGCGTGTTCACTGTGTGTACAGCTGGTGGGCTAGCGTGTTCACTGTGTGTACAGCTGGTGGGCTAGCGTGTGCACTGTGTGTACAGCTGGTGGGCTAGCGTGTTCACTGTGTGTACAGCTGGTGGGCTAGCGTGTTCACCGTGTGTACAGCTGGTGGGCTAGCGTGTTCACTGTGTGTACAGCTGGTGGGCTAGCGTGTTCACCGTGTGTGCAGCTGGTGTGCTAGCGTGTGCACTGTGTGTACAGCTGGTGGGCTAGCGTGTTCACTGTGTGTACAGCTGGTGGGCTAGCGTGTGCACTGTGTGTACATCTGGTGGGCTTGCGTGTTCACTGTGTGTACAGCTGGTGGGCTAGCGTGTGCACTGTGTGTACAGCTGGTGGGCTAGCGTGTTCACTGTGTGTACAGCTGGTGGGCTAGCGTGTGCACTGTGTGTACAGCTGGTGGGCTAGCGTGTTCACTGTGTGCACAGCTGGTGGGCTAGCGTGTTCACTGTGTGTACAGCTGGTGGGCTAGCGTGTGCACTGTGTGTACAGTTGGTGGGCTAGCGTGTGCACTGTGTGTACAGCTGGTGGGCTAGCGTGTGCACTGTGTGTACAGCTGGTGGGCTAGCGTGTGCACTGTGTGTACAGCTGGTGGGCTAGCGTGTGCACTGTGTGTACAGCTGGTGGGCTAGCGTGTGCACTGTGTGTACAGCTGGTGGGCTAGCGTGTGCACTGTGTGTACAGCTGGTGGGCTAGCGTGTTCACTGTGTGTACAGCTGGTGGGCTAGCGTGTTCACTGTGTGTACAGCTGGTGGGCTAGCGTGTTCACTGTGTGTACAGCTGGTGGGCTAGCGTGTTCACTGTGTGTACAGCTGGTGGGCTAGCGTGTTCACTGTGTGTACAGCTGGTGTGCTAGCGTGTACACTGTGTGTACAGCTGGTGTGCTAGCGTGTACACTGTGTGTACAGCTGGTGTGCTAGCGTGTACACTGTGTGTACAGCTGGTGTGCTAGCGTGTACACTGTGTGTACAGCTGGTGTGCTAGCGTGTACACTGTGTGTACAGCTGGTGTGCTAGCGTGTACACTGTGTGTACAGCTGGTGTGCTAGCGTGTACACTGTGTGTACAGCTGGTGGGCTAGCGTGTACACTGTGTGTACAGCTGGTGGGCTAGCGTGTACACTGTGTGTACAGCTGGTGGGCTAGCGTGTACACTGTGTGTACAGCTGGTGGGCTAGCGTGTACACTGTGTGTACAGCTGGTGGGCTAGCGTGTACACTGTGTGTACAGCTGGTGGGCTAGCGTGTACACTGTGTGTACAGCTGGTGGGCTAGCGTGTTCACTGTGTGTACAGCTGGTGGGCTAGCGTGTTCACTGTGTGTACAGCTGGTGGGCTAGCGTGTGCACTGTGTGTACAGCTGGTGGGCTAGCGTGTGCACTGTGTGTACAGCTGGTGGGCTAGCGTGTGCACTGTGTGTACAGCTGGTGGGCTAGCGTGTGCACTGTGTGTACAGCTGGTGGGCTAGCGTGTGCACTGTGTGTACAGCTGGTGGGCTAGCGTGTGCACTGTGTGTACAGCTGGTGGGCTAGCGTGTTCACTGTGTGTACAGCTGGTGGGCTAGCGTGTTCACTGTGTGTACAGCTGGTGGGCTAGCGTGTTCACTGTGTGTACAGCTGGTGTGCTAGCGTGTTCACTGTGTGTACAGCTGGTGGGCTAGCGTGTTCACTGTGTGTACAGCTGGTGGGCTAGCGTGTTCACTGTGTGTACAGCTGGTGGGCTAGCGTGTTCACTGTGTGTACAGCTGGTGGGCTAGCGTGTGCAAACGCCTGTTGGTAACCATCACAGAGCCCATGCCCTTGGATGATTTTTCTTCCCTGTTTTTAATCTGCGCGAGTCTCCTTGTCAGCGTGCGTTGCGGGAATGAAGCGGCAGTGGAGGAGTTCGCGCGCTGCACGGCGAACCCGGCGACCCGAGTTCGATTCCCGCTCACGGCCAACACCAGTGACGATTATCTGAACCGGTCCTGGGCATCCCCTAGGTCGACTCGGCCTCAAATGAGTACCCTGCACGGTGTGCGAACGTCGCCACCCGGGGAGACAAAGGCCGCCGGGCGCGGTGCTGGCCGCCCTCGTGCGCCATGCCGGCCTTCGCAGGCGCGACTCTAACGGCACTTGCCCCTACAAGTCTGTTAAGGCTACACGGGTGATCTTCGTCTTTGTGTTTCCCCAGGGCTTTGCCGAGCTGCCCATCTGCATGGCCAAGACGCACCTGTCGCTGTCTCACCGGGCCGAGCTGAAGGGCGTCCCCAAGGGGTTCGTGCTGCCCATCAGCGACGTGCGAGCCAGCGTGGGGGCCGGCTTCCTCTACCCGCTCGTCGGCACCGTGAGGGCGCGCGCGCAACACGTGTTCATGCACACACATACACGTATACACGTGTTCACACAGACACGTATACACGTGGTCATGCACACACACGTATACACGTGTTCATGCACACACCCACACACACGTATACACGTGTTCATGCACACACACGTATACACATGTCCATGCACACACATGTGCACGTGTTCATTCATGGACACACATACACATGTTCATGCACACACACACACGTATACACATGTTCATGCACACACACGTCTCCACGTGTTCATGCACACACATACACGTGTTCATGTACACACATACACGTGTTCATGCACACACACGTTTACAAGCACACACGGACGTGTTCACGCGCGCGCACACACATACGCACACACACACACAAACGTGTTCACACACACGTGTTCACGCACACATACACACACACGCAGACACGCGCTCACAAAAACAAAAGACAAATATCCACCTTATAGCCTTGGCAGACTATCGCGGCAGACTGAGCGCCTCTGAAGGACGAGGGGGTGGGTGGCCAACACCACGCAAGGCCCCAACAGTCTGTTGAGGCGAAACGGCGGATCTTTGTCTGTGTGTATCCGTGTGCAATGGGGAGCGGAGGCACAGTGGTTAGCGCGCTGCACTACGAACCCGATTCCTGCTCACGACCAACATCAGTGACGATTATCTGAACCGGTCCTGGGCCTCCCCTAGGTCGACTCAGCCTCAGATTAGTACCTGGTGCGGTGTGTAAACATTGCCACTAGGGAGACAAAAGCGGCCGAGCGTAGTGCTGGCCGATCATAGGCGCTCGCTAACAGCACTTGCCCCTACAGTCTGTTCAGGCTACACGGGGGATCTTTGTCTTTGGTGATGCTGGTGGTGGTGATGATGATGATTGTTGTCTGTGTGTGTGTTGTGCAGATGACCACCATGCCTGGGCTGCCGGTGAGGCCATGCTTCTACGACATCGACCTCGACCCGGACACGGAGGAGATCCGCGGCATTTTCTAACTGCACCCGTCATGGCCGACGGCACCACGTGACACCACGTGACACCCCACGTGACGCCACGTGACACCACGTGACACCCTGCGTGCGACCCGTGGGACCGTCGCCGGCGGTTCCGTGCGTCGTTATCGATTCGGTTTTCACGTCGTTTGAATTTGTCTGCCTGGTTTGTTTTGTCCGACTCGTTTTTAATATCCCGTCTCATTGGTGTGGTCCATTCCATTTGCTCTACCTCGTTAGCACCGTCTCATCTGCGTTGTCTCCAGTTCCCCGTCTCGTCTGCACCGTGTGTCTCCTGCCAGGTCCACATTGTGCGTGTTGCGTTATTCTGCCGGCAAATTCCCCCCCCCCCCCCCCACGTTTACCAGCGCGGGGGGGGGGGGGGCCGCACGGCGTCGCCGTCAACGCCGACGGAGCCTGAGGCAGCACGTCGGACCCCCCCCACCCACCCCCCCACCCACCCCCCACCCACCCCCCCACCCACCCTGATTGTCGCCGTTCGGAATTCAGCGGCCGCCTCGGTGACCACCGCGGTGGTGCGATAACCACGACGATAACCACGAAGATAACCAGAACGATAACCACGACACCGCCACGCACCGTCTCCTTCACGCTGAGCGTCGTCCGCAGGGACCAGGCCCGGTTGGCACTGCGCGCACGGAAATCGTCGCCCCCCCCCCCCCCCCGTCAGTCGTCCAAACACGACTCACCCCGCTGCCTTGAGTTCTCACCACCTGGCTGAACAAAACAAACTCGCAACACGTCGTCGCTTCCTCACTCGACCCTCGCCCGCTCGAACCTCGCCCACTCGACCTCGCTCGCTTGAACCTCGCTCGCTTGAACCTCGCTCGCTTGAACCTCGCTCGCTTGACCCTCGCTCGACCCCCCGCCAGACTCGGCGTTCCCCACGCACGGCCGCCCGGCTCTGAGCCGGACCCCACCCCCCACCCGTGCCGCTCTCACTCTCATCCCCGGATCATTCACAAGACCGTCGAAACAAACACGGCCCCGCTGTTAATTGTCGTGTTGATGCACCACAGCACGGCCGGGCACATTCACTCTGCGGTTTGTCGAGTTTTGTGTCCAACTCGGACCCACATCTCTCGGAGCGCTCCTTGCCGATGAACATCTGGGCATTTCCCCAGTAGTGTTTCAAGCGGAGCCTGACTGCTGATGAGACACCGAATGTCGAAACCGGTCGAGGTCTCTGCTCGTGTTGAACCGACGCTGTTGTAATAAACCAAAATCACTCCCAGAAGGAAAGGCCGATGGGAAGTGCAAAATAATAATGCTTTTGATTTTGGTGTTCCTGCGTTATTTACGAATGTGTTAAAGTTTATATGTATAACTTCATTGTGCTTGTGCACCGCTGCCAACGCAACATCAACACCTTGTTAAAGACAACGCCGAAGAGCCCTGGGTTTGGTCGTGCACGAAGCTGCTCGTGGTCCATCCCAAGCCGCATCCACCGCACGAACCACGGCAGTCGATGTGGAACAGTGAAACTCTGCAGCAGTAGCGGTGCGACCATGGCCATCATCCAGAGCAGCAGAGGCCGTGCACAGCGGGGGATGACGCGATGCCCCATCCACGACAAACAGCAGCAGAAGATGCTGGTTAGGAGGTGCGGTGGCTGATAATTTAGTTTGATACAAACATTTTTTTCGTGGGGGGGTACGGGTGGGGTGGGGGGTACGGGTGGGGTGGGTGGGTACGGGTGGGGTGGGTGGGTACGGGTGGCGTGGGTACGGGTGGGGTGGGGTACGGGTCGAGTGGGGGGGTACGGGTGGGGGGGTACGGGTGGGATGGGTGGGTACGGGTGGGGTGGGTACGGTACGGGTGGGGTACGGGTCGGGTGGGGTGGGGTACGGGTCGAGTCGGGGGGGTACGGGTGGGGTGGGGGGGTACGGGTGGAGTGGGGGGGTACGGGTGGTGGGTCGTCTTCAGCTGTCCAGGTCACAGGTGAAACATCACCCCCGACCCTGCTCCGTGCCGAGTCTTGTTGTTGGGGGAGGGGTGATGTAGTCTGTGATGAGTACGGTTGGCTCACGTACGGTGCTAAAGAAGTTCAACAGCACAAGCAGAACTCTGCACCGGTTTTGACATTCGGTCTCTCATCAGCAGTGCCAGTCAGGCTTCGTCCCCCCTTCAAAGCCACTGAGTCTTTGTCGTGTTCTCATTACTCGTGCACCACTGACAACGCAGCAGCATCATTGCCCGAAACGTCGCCTATTATTTAGATTTGCCCTTTAAGGTCACATTGTGATTATTGTCGTGTCAAGCTCTGACGTCATCGTGGTCGCGAGCCCCCCCCCCTCAAAAAAAACCCCACCCCTCCATTTCCCCCCACCCCAATCCCCCCCCAATCCCCCCCCCCCCCCGCAATCCCCCCCCCCCCGCAATCCCCCCCACCCCCAATCCCCCCCACCCCAATCCCCCCCCACCCCATCTCCCGCCCCCTACGCCCCGCCCCTCCCCCCAGCTTCCGCGCCCCGCCCCCTACGCCCCACCCCTCCCCCCAGCTTCTGCGCCCCGCCCCCTACGCCCCGCCCCTCCCCCCAGCTTCTGCGCCCCGCCCCCTACGCCCCGCCCCTCCCCCCAGCTTCTGCGCCCCGCCCCCTACGCCCCGCCCCTCCCCCCAGCTTCTGCGCCCCGCCCCCTACGCCCCGCCCCTCCCCCCAGCTTCTGCGCCCCGCCCCCTACGCCCCGCCCCGCCCCCCAGCTTCCGCGCCCCGCCCCCTACGCCACGCCCCGCCCCCCAGCTTCCGCGCCCCGCCCCCTACGCCCCGCCCCTCCCCCCAGCTTCCGCGCCCCGCCCCCTACGCCCCGCCCCCCAGCTTCTGCGCCCCGCCCCCTACGCCCCGCCCCTCCCCCCAGCTTCCGCGCCCCGCCCCCTACGCCCCGCCCCGCCCCCTACGCCCCGCCCCTCCCCCCAGCTTCCGCGCCCCGCCCCCTACGCCCCGCCCCGCCCCCCAGCTTCTGCGCCCCGCCCCCTACGCCCCGCCCCTCCCCCCAGCTTCCGCGCCCCGCCTCCTACGTCCCGCCCCGCCCCCCAGCTTCTGCGCCCCGCCCCCTACGCCCCGCCCCTCCCCCCAGCTTCCGCGCCCCGCCCCCCAGCGCGGCGAAGGAGACTTCGGGGTCGCAGCGCCACGCGGGGACGCCCCGAGCAGGTCACTCGCTCCACTGCGGCGTGGCACACTCCTCGTGGTAGAACACAGACACATCACACTCTATAGATACATCACACTACACAGATACATTTGTAAGGTCTATTATATATAGATAAGTTATATAGATCGTTACTTCATCCGGAGGCCGCTCGACTCCGATCGCCACATTGCACGCACGTGTGGGTTCGCGAGTCGCGGGGGTCGAGAGCGGGGCAGCATAGGAGTACGGTACAACCGTCGGCCGTGGCTGCTCTGACTGCTGCCCTCCCGTGCCGGAGGCTGCAGGGCAGCCCCGCAGCGAGCGAGGCAGGGAAGGGGGGGGGGGCAGGGAAGGGGGGGGGGGGCAGGGAAGGGGGGGGGCAGGGAAGGGGGGGGGGCAAGGAAGGGGGGGGGTGTTGCCTGCGTCTCGCTGTCGGTGCGGGGTCGTTGGGCGACGTAGGGTGCGAAAAAAGTTCGACTCGCCACCGACGAGCCCGCACGGGACTTCACACAGGACGCTGACAAGGCGACGGAGCTCAGACGAACCACCTCTTACATAGTCCACCTCTTACATAGTCCACCTCTTACATAGTCCACCTCTTACATAGTTCACCTCTTACATAGTCCACCTCTTACATAGTCCACCTCTTACATCGTCCACCTCCTGCTGCTCTTTCTGCTGCTGCTGCTGAAATCTGCGCAGGCTCCGTGCAGGCCCCATAGGCCGTGATGTACACAATGTGACGTAGTCTGTGACGTAGCCTCTGTCACGTAGCCTCTGTGACGTAGACTCTGTGATGTAGTCTCTGTGCTATAGACCGCTATGAACTGTAATGGAGTTCTAGGCTGTGCTATAGACTGGTTTAGAGCTCTCGACTGTGCTGTGGCCTCTCCCACACCGACTGGTCTGGAGCTGCTGTCCCTCGCAGTAGCCTCAGTCTCACGTGGGACAGAAACCTCAATCCGCTCCCGGTCCTGGGGGTCTGGTGGCGTGGCTGGGAGCGGCACAGCCACGGCACAGCCACGGCACAGCCACGGCACAGCCACGGCACAGCCACGGCACAGCCACGGCACAGCCACGGCACAGCCACGGCACAGCCACGGCACAGCCACGGCACAGCCACGGCACAGCCACGGCACAGCCACGGCACAGCCACGGCACAGCCACGGCCGCCCGGCTTGCCGAGTGCCATGCTTCGAAACGGGCGGCAAGGAGAGGTGGCTCGGAGGGTTGACAATGGCCGTGTGGTAGACACTGCCCACACTGCTCACGTCTGGGGCCAGGATGTGTCTCCTCAAGGGTCTAATATGTGGATGCCACGGTGGCGAGATGTGAGCTATCTCACCTGCTTTACAGGAGATTCTCGCTTTATTTCTTGAGTTTCAGCCACACCTTTTATCAACGGGTTCTCAAGTTTAGCGAGCTGGTGGGCTTTGCCCGATCACCAAGCTCGCACTGCTGAGATTCTGGTTTTGAGCACCGGTTCTATGTCTCTCTGTTTCTTTCACTCGTGATGGCCGTGTCAGAGACGCTGAGCCACCATGGTTGAGAAGTGAGATCCTGGGTCTGGGTTTCGCTGATATTGGCCGTGCCAGATGGGACTCAAGCTGGGCAGTAACAACTCACGATGACGTGAGCGGTTCCCGCATTCCGTCAGGCACTGTTGCGATTGTTGACGGTTGCCCTCTGCGCGTGCGTGCAGGTTCTCGTCGCTGCCATGGCATTCCGCGACGCGTGGAAGCGGTACCGCGTGCTCATCGTGATGGGCGCTGGCCTCGTGTCAGTCCACTTCGGCTGGTACCGTCTGCAGGACAACCCCGCGTTCCGGGGGTACGGCGTCAAGGACGGCCCGCAGCCACGCGGCCTCACAGAGCACCCGAGCGGTGTGGGCGGCCTGCCCTCGGCGAAGCCGTCCACCTAGCGGAGGCGGCAGAGCGACGTCCACCCGACGTCCACCCGCGTCGGTACGGCAACCGACACCGCCCACGGTGCGCCCCAGCTCGGAAGCTGAGCAGGGGTGCCACGGTTCTGAGATGTTAACTACCTCGCCTGGTATACAGGAGAAGGTCGTGGGTTCGATCCTGACGCTTGCTGTATATTTGGAGTTTGTGTGTTCTCCCTGTGGTCGTGTGGATTTTCTCCGGGTCCTCTGGTTTTTCCCTCCATATAGACTCAACATCATGCGTTTCGAGTGTTTGGCAGCTAGAAATTTACACGTGACGATAATCCACTACTTTGTTGAGCTAGAATGAGTGATAGCTCAGTTGGCCTTACCCATTAAAATAAAACAGAAATTAGTTTAGGTTTTGACCCTGGTTAGTGCTTGTAGGCCTAAGACCGAACCGCTCGGGATGCACTGCCCGGTCCCATCGCCTCTCAGACGCCAAGGTGGAGTTGAGACCGGGTGGTGCGTGGATGGGTCACCACTGTGCGTCAGCAGGTGTTATAGGCTACGGGGCTGAGGGGTTGTGGGCAGCAGAGGGCAGTGCACCTGCTTAATTTTCTGTGATCCCCCATCTTCAACACGCAATGACCGGCATGGTGAAGTATGGTCAAATAACCCCCACGACCCATAAGTAGATTGACAAACAGTCTCTTAAGCGTCCGTGGTGGTTTTCAGATGTTTCATCAGCCAAGCAGTCCCCTTGCCTTGCCTAGTCCGAGTGCCATGCTGCCTGGGCCAGGGTGCACCGGGAGGAGGGGAGGGCATGGGTCGGGCCTCCTGGGTCTGTGCCTTATCGGATGAGGCGCAGGCCACGTTCAAATCTAATGGTTCTCTTTTAACGTACGCATGCACGTAACCAGGGGATTAAATCCTTCAAGACACATGAAGCAGCATTGCTTTCCTTTACAAGGGCGACTTGGGGTCTTTCTCGAGTGCAACTGTGTGGGAAAACAAAAGCGACAACGTTCCGTTGTTTTTAACACGGGGCGTTAAATGGCATTTGCAGAATAAGAACGCAATAGAGTTAAGACGCGGGAAATGTTCGCCGCGTAACGTTATCTCTGGGCAAGCAACAGCCAGCGGAGCGGAGCGTGCGTGTGGCTGCAGAGGAACGGCATGGTGGTGGGGGGCGAGCGGGAACCCTCTCCAGTATCCCGTAGAGGTCTCGACTGTGCTGTGGCCTCTCCCACACCAACTGGTCTGGAGCTGCTGTCCCTCGTAGCAGCCTCAGTATTCCTCACGTGGGACAGAAACCTCAAGCCGCTCCCGGTGCAGTGGCGATGCCGGCCCTGGGGGTCTGGTGGCGTGGCCGGGAGCGGCACATCCGCGGCGGTGCTGCCCAGCTGGCACAGCCACCCGGCTCCGAGACGGGCGGTAGGAAGAGGTCGCGGCAGGTGGCTCCGAGGGTGTCACAGTGGCTGTGTGGTAGAAACTGTGTCGGCACTACTGACATCCTCATTATTAAGCCTGGGGTCATGATTTGACCCCAGGCCTAATATATCTCGGAGGGTTCATGATGGCCAGGGGTCGGCAACTTGCGGCGGCTCGTTGGCTTAGTCCCCTTGCGGGCAGCCGTTTTATTTACTTAAATCTTACACGTAATTTACCGCGAAGGTGATTGATGAAATATGGCAGGAAATGGGTCGCTATGCAATGTCTTCGTGACGTCAAACTGTGTTCTTGTTAAAGAATAACGAAGGGGGGGGGGCACAACTAAATAGACGCGGTTTATTCCATCGTCTGTTTAAGTCAGAATGTGTGTTGTCGTCACCTGCTGTGTACCCGCTGCTGTGTTTGTGTACAAGTCGCTCTCTCTATGCGCGGTGCTGCGGCTCTCCAACTATTTTGGTCAAAGACAAAAAACAAGAAAATGCCTCCTTTGAAAGGCTGCCGGACCCCTCCTCGTGACAATCGAGCTGGCTCCGCTGAGATCCGAGGTTCGAATCTGGGTCTCAGCCGCCCGTGATTAAACGCCGGGGGCTCTCTTGCGTGCAGCGCCCAGGGATGATCTCAGTCAGCGATGGCTTTGGGTGGCATGAACCGGTGGGCTGGGGTGGCTCCGGGTGTTCCTTGCGGCCGTAGCCACTCGTGTAACCAATGCTGGACATTTACTTTTGTTTGTTATTTCGCTATTTATTGTTTGCGCTCTACTACCGTCTTGTCCTGTGTGCCTGTACACTTCTGGCCCCGGTGTTAACTTGCGTTCCCCGTTGCACAGAGGGGCTTTGAAGCGCGCCCGAGGGTCGTGGTGGCGGTGGTGAGGAAAAACGTGGAGCGGAGCGACCCGAGGGGGAACTGGAGCGGGGAGCTGTCGGCAAAACCTGGACTGCTGTAGCGCAGGAGGGAAGGCTCGGAGCGGCGTTCATCTTGCGGCGGACCAGGCGGTGGAGAGGATGTGGAGACGTGACGCTCCCACACAAGTGGGGACGCCTCTCCGGGTTAAGACTTTTGTTGTTTCAACCGGAAACAATCTGCGCTGCAACACTGCGTACTCGTGGGCTCTCCGTGGCTGGCTTTTTCATGACTTTGGGGTGACATTCTTGTAAAGGCTTCCTAAACGTTGTTTTGATGCCATCTAAAGTAATCCAGCCGTGTTGACTTGTTGGCCTATAACAAGGCTGCGCGCACTACAGCGGCGGTATGGTGATGTTACGTGGCGTGCAAGGTATGATGGGAAGACTAATTCTATTTATTGGTCGCACTCGCACCTTTTGCCATCTACAAATCGCCTTTTGCGTGTACTATTATCACTTTTCCGACGTTGGATTATAAGATGTGGTTTATATTGGGTTGCAGCCGCCCTTTTAAAGCATCCAGAAACAAATATTCGTGGGTGTTGGTCATTTTTTTTTATATTTGCTCTATGATATTTTGAGGGATTGGCACAGAAACTGAAAAATATAGGTTGGTGAATTTCCAAATCTGCGGTCGTGTTTGGATTCCAGTCCCCTTTCCAACCTCTCGACATTGTTGTTGGCCGAGGTTCAAAGAAAGTTCACCGTTTCTAACCCCCACTTTCTTGGCCCATGGTGAAACATGTTGACTTTCAGACTGTTGTTCCAGATATAACCAATAAACTTGACTTCAGTCAACTCCTGATTATCCGTGGTGATTGGTGGGGGGCATGGTTAAAATAAAAAAAACAGATAATGGAAACCATGTCAATGAGGCTGTACAATAAACTCGTCGTGCCCAGAAGCCAGCAGTTGGAATTGCAACAAAGATTTAGTTTCTACTCAATCTGTATCCATACGAAAAAAGTATAAGCCAACATGTAGCAGCTGGCTCCCTTCGTTATGAACTATTTAATTAACTTTTATTTTACCGGGTAAAACCCACCACTATATAGCTCTTTTTCAGAAGCGACCTGGTCACATCGGAGCTCAACAAAGTGGCTCATGTGGAAATTTATAGCAGCCAAATAATCGAAATGCACGTTTCTAAATGTAGAGTGAAAAACCGGAGGTCGCGGAGAAGAATCCACGCAACCACGGGTCAAACATGCAAACTCCAAATATACATGCGTCGGGGTCGGCATCGAACCCTCTCGACCTCCTGTATACCAGGCAAGGTGGTTAATATCTTGCCACTCTGGTGCTGGGATAACGCGGATTCCAGCCGAGTGGGAAGACAGGCACCAGCGTGCTCGGTTCCGTTATTGTGATGACGTTTGTTCACTCATGAGGGCCTCACCGAGTCTCAACATTCAGGGATGTCAACTCTCGGATTACCTCGGGAAATGGGGAGGGGGGTGCAGAGGTAGGCACTAAATCATCAACCCTTGAGTGAAGAGCAGATCATACGATTGGCGTGGGTGTAAAGTATTTATTGGCAAGCATGAATAGAGATCAATGCAGAATGTAACGATACACCATGCGGACACGTTATAAAACCACAAGGTGAAACGATCCATGAAAAAACAATCATTCTGGAAGGGGCGTCGTGAAAAGATGACAATTCGGATTTGTCTTGAGAATCCCTAACACACTCGTGGAGTGCACAAGCAACGAGTTCCAGTCTTAAGAGTTCATGAAAAAGCTCCCCACACGTGGAGTGAAACTTCACTTCCTGAAGAAGCTCCCGGCACGTGCAGCGAAACGTCGGACTTCAATCCGAAGGTCAGGCGGCACAGCCTGCAAACGCTTCGGGCAGTGCTGCAAAAACAACCTACGCAGTCGCCTTTGCAATAAGAATTAACATTTGCGGGGCGCATTAAATCCGTAGATCCCAAGCGAGTCACAGATCCGAGTGGGATTGGCCGTGGCGGGGACGGAGCGAGCGCCCTCCTCACAGAATGTCCCGGTGCCCCGTCTCCGTCAGCATGGCCTCCAGCGCGAGCTTTGCGGCGTCGGTGACGTACGGCTGGTGCAGCCACGCCGACAGGTAGACCATGGAGAGGCTGGGCGACGGGGCATGCGCCATCTCCGCCACCAGCACGCGCCTCAGCCGCAGCTCCTCGCTGTACTGCGCCTGCAGCTGGGCCGACACCTCGTCTGTGTCCACAGCAGAGGTCGCAAACGGGTTTTGATTCCTTACCCGTACCCGGTCGCAAACGGGTACCCGTATCCTACCCGGCTACCGGCCGGGTATCGGGTAGGGTACGGGTACCCGATTGCGACCTCTGGGATGAAGCCATGTTGCAGGCGCGGGTGGGTTGATTCTAGGAACTTGAATTGTGAGAAGAGACAAGACGTTGGAAAATGAGTGACAAACGGTGACTCACCAGTGACTCACGGCCTACTCGTACCCAGCCGCACCAGGGTCGCAAACGGGTACGGGTAGCCGGGTATCGGGTAGGGTACGGGTATCGGGTACCCGATTGCGACCTCTGGTCCACAGCGCGGAGTGCGCCAGACAGAGGGGGGGGCGCGACGGGTCGGGGCAGAGCGGGTAAACAAACGCGTAAGTGGTCACGACTTTGAGGTCGCGATTCGATGCTCGAGTCCACCCTTGTTTTGTTAACCCTGTCCTGCTCGTCTTGTGCCTATGACAAAATTGGCCGGAGTGCACCCAATCTCATCACACATTGGAAGCCAAGCAAGGACTGAGCCTGGATAGTGCTTGGATGGGCGCGGGAGAGGGGGGTAAGGGGGAGGAAGAACGGGAGAAGAGGACTGGGGGGGAGAGGGAGGGGGACTCGGGGGGGAGGGGGATTATGGTGGAGAGCTGAGGGTAATGCCACAAAATCCATAATTGTACTGTACTACCTATGCTTACGGGTAAGTTGTGCTTACGGGGAGATTGTGCTTACAGAAGGCTGTTGCTCCGACAGAATCAGAATCTTCATTTAACTACAGGAGGAATCCTATGAGCTGTGAAGCTCTTTTTCACAGGTCTCAAGTATGGCCGGGTCAGCGAGTTACAACAGCAGAGACAATAGTGAGCAAGTCACTAGATATTAATCAACAGATAATAATGACTTTGGAGGTTGTGTGCTGCAGAAGGCTGTTGTACTCACGGAAGGTTGTTGTCGGCCAGGAACGGAAGAGCGGAGTTGGCCTCCACGCTTGCTTGTTCTGGTACCACTCCAGGTCGCACACGGCCTGCAGCGTCGACGTCAGCTTCTCCATCGTTTGCAGCAGTCCCCTCTGCAACAGCGGGAGCGACGCGCGGCTTTGTGCGTTTAGTTTGTTGTCCTTATCCCCCCCGCCCAGCACCGCCGGCGAGCACGGTTGGCCACATACGGTGCGTAAGAAGTTGAAGACACATCGCCCGGTGAATGTTTATTCAGTTATTTATTCGTGAGAGCCACGCTGAGCCCTCGGACTCCTTTTCAGGAGGGTCCTGCCGCTTACATTGGGAGTTTTATTTTAAGATGTTTTCAGCCATTTAGTGTTTATCATGCAAGTGGGAGGAAGCCGGAGTTGAATAATTTTACACATTCCATCCAGGGTAACCATGTCTGTACGAACCGGCGGGGGGGGAGGCACGGTGGGCCACGGTGGCTAGGAGATGTTAACTACCTCGCCTGGTATGCTGGAGGTCGTGGGTTCGATCCCGACCCTGACGCCTGCTGCTGTATATGTGGAGTTGGCGTTTCTCTCCCCACGTGGTCACGTGGATTATTCTCCGGGTCTTCCGGTTTTTCCCTCCGCATTCAAAATCAACATCACGCATTCAGAGTATTTGGCTGCTTTCCATTTCCACACGATAAGCCACTTCATTGAGCTATCATTTGTGGCCAGGTCGCTTCTGAAAAAGAGCTATACACCTTAATGGGCTTCACCAGCAAATTAATTTAAAAAATATAGTTTATAAGTTGTATAGATCTCTCTGCCAACCTATAGCACAGTCGAGAACTGTATGTCAGTATGTGGGACTTGTGTGGACACCCGGCAAGGCACACACATAGCGTGACATCACATCGTGTTGCCGAATGGCCCTGGGTGTGTCATTGTGCAGTCATTAAGAACCAGTTTTATTCGCGAGTTTGTGAAACCTGCATTCAAACGCAGCAGTTCGGAGATGTTGCGCAGTGCCCTGGCTTGGTATGGACCGCTTGACCAGAGTCAACCACTCAATCCCAGGGTTTTAATCCAGGATCTCGGTGAATTGCTGCCGCCGCCGCCGCCGCAGACGACAACGACAACGCACACTCACCAACTTCTCCCACACCTCCACGAGTTGGTTGCAGTCTCTCTCCAGTTCCTGGTATCGTGCTGATTCCGCGGCCGATGCTTCCGCAGTCGGCGCAGAATTGCCCTCCTTCCTGCCCAGGGAGGGATTCGTTCCACGCGTGTCAATCGCTACGGGTGGCATCTCGTCGCCATAGTTGGCGCTCGATTATCCGCTTGCGCGCTGTCCGCGGGCGTGCGAATTAACCGTGCTTTCGGGAAGACTGGCACTATTTGGACACGTGCAGGATGGACAACAAGAAAATTAAAATCATGTTGTTCAGGAAAAATGGAAGGAACCGGAAAGAGAGGAAGACCTCACGGAGAATGACTTGACAAGATCGGTGTTAGACAGTTGTGGCCACTACTTAGGCACGTTGGGGCGCAGGAGACGAGAGGAAAGTGGCAACAAACGACGCAGTGGGCACCCACGGGGCTGTCTGCAATACGTAATGTGACGATGAGCGGGAAAAAATAAATATAATATATAAAAAAATAGGATTTCTCACCTTTTTATTTATATCGTGTATTATTTGCTTTTCTCTGTTATGTCTGTCACGTGTGTTTTTAATTGACGAAACCCGACTTATGAGCTTCTGAGCACTCACACGTTACTTCAAAATAAACTGAACTGAAACTGATATAATCGTTTAGGTTCTGCCCAGAAAGGGAAAAAACCTATCCTTATTTTTTCACACTTCGATACTGGCAAAATAAGTAATATTTAAAAAAACTTTTTTTTAAACTCGCTTTAATGAAATGTACCGTACTAGTAATGGAAGAACTCCACGACTCCAGGAAGTGGCCCGAAGCTTGCCATAACGTCAGTTGACCGTGGACAATTAGAGCCAAGCCGAAACATAACGTATAAAAATAATGTTTAAAAATATGTTATTTTTTTTTTAATGATAGAATAAGGTATTGTCATCAGTATGACATAAGTATACCAAGTTTGCAGTCGATACCACATTGGGAAGTGGGTAAAAATTCAGTGACAATATTTGAGGATACAACAACAACAACAGACAGAGTGAGTTAAATAAAAGCGTGTAAAAAGGTCCCATTTTATATATAAATATGACAAAAACATTCCCCCCACACGCGCACCCGGCACGAACCAATCGGCAAGTGGCGAGCGGCGTCCCGGGACTCACGGCGACGCGAGGCGGGAGTTGGCCACCCTGGAGGCGAGGGCCAAGCCCGACTCGACGACCAGGCGGTCCCACTTGGCGACGGCGTTGTGCCAGTCGGCGGCCACGTCCCGCACCTTCCTGCCGCTGGGGCTCGCGGCCGGGGACGACGACGAGGGGGAGGCCATTGCCGGACCCTCCCCTTCGCGCTGCGGTCAAAGAGGGGGGGGGTCAAGGGGTCAGGGTAGGGTCATGCGGTAGCTCCTCGCTTAACGCGTTTTTCGCTTAACACGCATCTATGGCCGCGTTGTGCGAGGAATTACCGTGCGCTCTTTGGTTCTTCTCCAT